CAGCTTCAACATTTGCCGCATCAAAAACGGTGTTGCCCTGTGTTACTTACACTAATTATATAAATAGAAGCTCCTTCTTTTTATAAGAGGTGATCTCGCGAACGGCTGTATGTATTTTTTGAAATTTTGGACACCTACTGCAGACTTTCGATATATTAAGGGAGCGTGGCATCACCCATACATATCGAATTTTTCATACCGTATATCTCTGAAAGTATTTGTGGTAGTTTCCTGGAAATTGGTATAGAAATTTTGGAGCGTGGCGCTTTCCAAACATATTGAAACTTTTACCTATCTGTAAATATATACACCCAGAATACAGTGTTTTTTTTCTTTTTCATGATAAATTTTTTTGTTAATTCTTTATAGAAATATAGTTCATTTTGCAATTGCAGTATCATAAAGTGCAAGTTTTAAATAGCTATAAGTTATCGTTGATTTTTGAGAATTTTTTTCACTGATGATGTTGCGAATTTTCTCTGTTTAACGAATGCGTGATAGTTTTTTTTGTATGGGAAAAAATGCCGAAGAGTGTCAGTATGTAAAAGACTTATTCTTTCCATTTTAATGATAATTTTTAGTGGCGCTGGAGCAGAGTTGTTGCTAAAAATCGTCGATTCGAAGGCACCAGGGATCAAAATCAAATTACTCCCGTTGAATCACCATCAGAACCATTGCGGCTTCACGGGCTCTAGGCAGAATGTGGATCAATGATACTCACCAGTTTAGAAATTGCCACCAACTATATTATACAGATTCAAGGAAGATTCACTATCGAGCCGCAAGGACTTCTTCCCGGTATAACGCTTTCGTGAGGTTATTTAAGACGGCAATGGAGGATATGCCTTGTGTCGTCCACAAAACCAAACGTGAACGTGAACTGCTGGCGAAAACGTTGGACCAAATGTTTGAATAAAAAAATTAATTTTGAGCTGGACGAAGTTCGCCGGGTATGCTAGTTTTAAATAAATATTAATGAATTCCTTAGTCACACTGCTCAAAAAATCTTAAAGTCAGGTGCATACACACCAGGGATGTTGCGAATGTGGAATTTTAGACATCCGCGGATGCGAATGCGGATGCGAATATTTAAAAGCTAACATCCGCGTATGCGGATGCGAATGCGGATGTCAAGTATTTTTAATAAATAATTTAGGTGAGTGAATTAGGTGAGTTAGGTAAATAAAAAATTGTTAAGGTTATTAATTTTTAATAATTTTTTTTTTCGTACTTGAATTTAAAATTTTGAACATTGTATTTAATAAAAACTTTTTATTAAAAAGTAATGTTGTTGCCTTTTCGGGTTACAGCCTGTTTCTTAAAGTATCGCAAATCAAACCTGCGCCACTAAATAAACTTGAAAAACTTGAAATTTGACAAAATTGTAAATTCTTTTCGATTGACGCTGTACCAGTTGAGAGAACTTTGAGTTATACTATTTTTTTTTTTCATTGCGGTGCAATAATTCCTTTATGAGAATTGCATCGGGGCTGCAAATTTGGGATGTATTCTCCTGACTTTCATCTTCACAATCTACTATCATGGCAAGGTCGTTCTTTAAACACCGTTGTTTTCCAAAGAATTCTTCATTCTCATTCTTTTGGTTGTTTCTGAGTTTGGAGAACCTGCAACGTCATCAGCGTTTTTCGTTTTTTGTTTTTGTAATTCATTTTTAATCCTTTATTCTCTGACTGGCCAGATATACGTTATATCAGTGCACTTTCACAATATTCCAGGGACAGAAAATAACAGTTAAATAACATTTCAGTCCTCTTTCATATGATATCATATTTGTTTAATGTGGATAAGCTCTTTGTTCATTATCAGGAAATTACTTTTATTTCGGAAAAAAAAATATTTGGCTAAGTTTAACTCGTAAAAAATGTGAAAGCGAACGCGGTTGCGAATGCCAATGAGAATATTCGCAACAACCCTGATAAACACATATATATTCAAGGCCGTATTTAAGAAAAGTCGCCTAAATTCGACAACTTTTATGCGATTGCAATAAAAGAGGTGTCAGTTTATTTTAAAATAGAAGTAATTTTAGATACTGGTACATATGCTGAAATTGTGGAAATTATCGATGGTCAAAATTAAAAAAAAAAAATTTTATTTTACCCCATAAAAATCCCAACAAGCCAAGTCCGGCAATAGATTATTATATTTCATTTTAAAATATTATATATCCTCTTCTCAGATCGTATTCGATCTTTGAAATCGAATCAAAAATAGTCATTCAAAAACTCTTAAATCTACAAAATCGTATTTTCCGACCTAAATCGACAGGTCGCGACCTCTAAATGACCTTTAAAAAATCTACAAAAATATGTTTTTCATTAACAGCATGTTCCATTATCTCAAGTTTGATTTTCCGCGCTAGAGCGGGTCTCCTTAACCTCGCCGCAAGACCTTTTAAAAACGTTTCTTCGGAAATTTACCCAGTTTGTAATTTGGGGGAAGTGGAGCGTATCTATCACTTTATTGGTATATGCCTAATGTGACCAACTATTGCATAGCTCAAAGAAGTACAGGTGAGGTTGGGTTAGGTTCAAGTGGTTGCCCTAGGCAAGGGACACACTTGGACAATTAAGAGAAACGCCGCGAGCCGATTACCAAATTTCTAAAGCGACTAATTTCGATCCCTGAGAGCTCAGTGTTAGTTAAGAAGTGCGAGCCAAAATTCTTCCCTCTTTGCCTTCCGAAGGTTTGATAGCCTAAAAGGAAGTGTGGAGGTTATTCCACCTCACCATCCTCTTGACTGCTGATACCAAAAGGATCAGTTGAAATTCCTAGTCTTACCGCGTGAATACTAATCGCACAATGGCCTGTTAGAGCCCTCATCACTAGCCCTTGGGAGGTAACGTGTTTTTCGGCACCTTTAAGAGGTAACGATGGGCCACCGTGTCTTGCGCTGCAAAAAGTGTTTTAAAGTGCCCTATAATAACTTGCTGTTGCAAACAAACGTCTTATTTTCCCCTTTTATATCACAAAAGGAGCATTGCTTTCTTTTGTCCATTTTATTAGGCATTTCAATATCGCGAAAACGAAGTACGCGCTCTCCGAGCTAATACTAGGCTCAACCATCCAAGAGTGTACCGCAGGAGGACAGAGGCGTCCCCGGCTACTTCTTATCTGGGCATAACGTTTTCAGGGTGCCTTTCCGACGCCAGGTCATCAGCCACGCAGTTTCCTGTGATTTCACATAACCTAGCCTTAGTAAGAAGTACTCCGAAGCGATTAATAGAGAAGTGAGATATTATTTTACCGATTTCGAGAGCACCATCGCACCCTTTAGGAGTGAGTCTACCACTTCCTTGATGGCAGCTATTTCCACCGGAAAGCCTGAACATAGTTTTGGTGGAGAGTTTTCGGAAGAAGAAACCTCTTGAGAGAATGTAGGTAGAAAAGAAGCTTCTGGAAGCTATTTCGGAAGCGCTGTTCAGGGCGAAGCCAAATCCCCTAAGAACCCCAGGGTGTTACCACTCGGTTTCCCTGAGCCCGATAGCAGTTCATGCTGCGACTATTCTGTCTGTTGTTTTACAAGGTTAGCCTTTTCTAGTGAGTTCCACCAGGCAAGGGCTCCGTGAAAAAA